TAATTATATTAATCTTACTATTAGTCATTTATCCATCCTGCTCATCCAATCAACATTTATTCTTATCATCTAAAAAATTATGTAAAAAATATAATTATCCAAAAAATTATTCCTCAACCTCATCAATCATGTCTAATCACTATTATTATCAATCATCAACCCTTCTTCTTATTATAATTTGATTATAAATATAATCACCAATGTTTTTACTACTTTTATAATCATCAATCTTTATTTCATTTCTTTAATCTTTTCCCACTATCTATTCTTACATAAATATTAATCAATCTTTGTTCCTACTATAATTTGATTACACAATCTACTACAGACAACTTTTAATTTGTCTAACCATTTTCTAACAAAGACAACTTAGACAAATACATACCCCAATTCACTTATTTATATTGTCTTTGTAGACAAACTTAATTTATCAATTGTTGCTACTTTATTATTTAATTTCATATCATAGGACAAATTTTAGACTTTTATTCTTATATTCATCTTGATATTATTTAATTTAGCTTTAATATATATAGATATATACTTTATTTCTCATGCATTACTAAAAATACATAATATAAAGCAACACACATAATCTCTTAATTTTTTCCTCTTCAATTCTCTTGACTATTTATTTATCTACTATACCATTTATAACTCTTTTTTATAATCAACTATTGTGATAGAAAATATTTAATATATTTGTTTATGTATGAAGCAGGAAACCCAATGTAGCTAAATACAAATATGGATTCCTCCCATTATACATAATTCGTTTCTAACCTTATTACATCTATTATTCATATCTTATTCCTCTGATATGTATATAATTTTATTTGCTTTTACTAATGTTAGATTGACATTATTGTACATACATTATTATTACATAAACATTTTTTTATTAATTTATTCACAATAAATTACAATTCCAAGTAAGTAATCTTATTGTTATTTGTACTTCCTGAATACGTCATTGAGCTATTATTATTTCTAAAATCTACTTTATGATAATCCCCCTCTTTCATCTAAATGAAGAAGAACTCAAACACTATCTAATTACCAAACATACGTAATAACCTTCAAAGCCTACTTTTCAGCCTTTAAACTAATTTCAACAACTTTATACTTTAAATAGCAATGAGGACAAGATAACAAATAATATAAATGTCACTTCACCATCAATAGGCCTTTCTTTATTCACCCTATACAACAGAATTACAAACTAGCAATCCAAGAAAAAGGCTTAAAAACTCCTTTATCAAACTTTCCCCTTTTCATAATAATAAAATAAGCATCAAATCCCATCAAATGCAATCTATATAAACAACTCTTTTCAATCCCCATAAAACGTAATCTTCATAATTTACAAAATAATTCCATCATTAAAATAATATTTAATTAAATAATATAAAAATAAATATAGAACACATGACTTCAAAATCTTTGATTAATATCTTTCATTAACAATAAAATAAGAATCTGCATAGAGAAATTAAGTCTTTCATTAACATTTAATAATAAATAACGCTTCAACATTTTTTAATCTAAAATAAAAAAATAAACCATAATTCCCAAATATTGCATCAAAAACAATATTCTCATATTTTCTCATTTTTTAAACAATCTTATACTATAATTAATAAATAAATAAAACAAAAACAACAAAAAAAACCCCTTAAAATTAAATCATCCTACACATCATATTACTTTAGAAATATATCGACATTTTAATCAAATAGTTGATAAATTTCCAAATTATATTAATGAGTAAATGTATTAAATAATAATCTTTCTTTGTCAATCAATAGGAAAAATGACAACACCAATCCGTGCATTGAAACCAAATGAAGTTTATCAAACAATTAGGGCACGAATTTGCAGATTATGGACAAACAACGACTTAACAACAGGACGTTTAATAAGCGTTGACTGTCTTTTAGTCGATGAAGAGGTAATAGCTATTACAAACACTATATTATAGCATATTTAATATTATATAATATTATAAAATAAATAACATTCTCATATTTTTTATCTACAGCACGAAGCAATTCAAGGATCAATTCGAGCACGTGATTCTGACATCATTTCTCCAAAAATTCAACAAGGCAATATATACGACATCAGTAACTTTTTTGTCACACAAAACAAGCCAGCATACAAAGTTGTTCCACATCCTGCAATATTACAATTTGCACGTGCAACAGTTTTTCTCCCAGTTATGGAAGACGCACTTCCCATTCCATTCCACAGGTTTTATTTTACTGAATTCGATCAGCTTCAATATAGAATCCAAACAACCAAATTTTAACAGGTAATATAAACTACCTTCTCCCAAAAAAAAAAAAAACACCATTAATTTACTTATCTATATTCTTTTCATCATATATTTATATACCAACAGATGTCATCGGTATTCTAACAAAAATACAATCAATAGAACAAGCAAATATCAGCAGTAGACAAACATCATGACGTACCATAATGATACAAAACATAAGGTAAATAAATTTGGCACAAATTTTTTACATCACTTACAATATTCCATTCTAATATTTATTTTTCCATTTCCTTTTTGTAATAGAAATGAACAACTTCAAGTTACTTTATGGGGACACAAAGCAAACCAATTTAATGAAAATGTTATAAAATCAATGAAAGGACCAGTTGTTGCAGTTTTTACAGCAATGTTGGTAAAACAATATTTAGGTATTTTCTCAATATTTTATAAAAATACTTACAAATAAAAACAAAATACCTACACAAAAATACATCAAGATATTAATCAATTCATGGTCCAAATCTTAGGAAATGCATATGTTTCAAGCACTGCAGCAACAATCTTTTATATTGACCCAGAAATATCAGAGACAACAACATTAAAAACAAGGTGAGAAAAATAATTCACAATATCTAAAAACTAAAAATTTTCTATTACTTCTTTTCAAAATCATTCATACTTTTGTATCTACAGGTTTTCTCACCAATATCAAGAAATTGACACAACAGCATCAACAACATCAAGTCAATCCATCGAAGAACAAAAAACACAAAATAGAACAACAATTGATGAAGCAAAGACATTATATCAACAAAGAACTGAGGTTAGAATAATAATATCACATCCTTATTTTTTGTTCTCATTATATTATTCAAGCTAACAACCTTTATCTATCTACATAGGGTACAAGATTTACAATAAGAGCTACAATAACCGGATTCTCAACAGAACAAGCATGGTTTTACAATTCCTGCCCCAGATGTTATCGACAACTAAAACAAGTTGGGATCGGTTGGTGGTGTGACAGTCACGGACACATAAAAACAACACCATCTCCATGGTACAAAAAATTCCAAATATACTATTGCCAAAATCAATTTATTTTTATTACTTATAATAATTAATATATTACATAAATAAACTATAACTTTACATATTACAGGTACAGATTAACAGCAGAAATCGAAGATGCAACTGGAAACATGAACATTACTATATTTGGCAAAGCAGCACAAGCACTAATAAAAAAACCATGCTCTACACTAACAATCGATGAAGGCTTTACTTTACTGATCCATTTACAATCCCACCGATCATCTCTCAACTAAGAGGACAAACAAAGATTTTCCAACTATACTTTCAACAAAGAGGACCACAAATAAATGCAATCGTTTCCAAAATATTTGAAGACACAGAGCCTCTAGCACTACTAACACCAACATCAACAACTATAGTGACAACGACAAGGTAAAATATTTAAATTAAATTGTACCTATTACAAATAAAAAAATAATATCTAATATCTAAACTATATTTTACCATTTCAGCTCTCAAACAAAGACAATAGCAACAACTCAGACACCAGTGGATCCACAAACTCCAGACCCAAAAAAATCAACCGTTTGGTAAGTCATAAACTAATTTTCATTATTCATAAATCAAACACAATATTTATAATTTTATATATATATCTAAACAAACTCTCATCATTGCAGTTCACGATCAAAAGAAGCAGAACAATCTACAAAGCGACCGAGGACTAGGTAATATCACTTCCTCTAAATCAAAATATTGTCAATTTCATCAATTATCAATACTAACTTTTCAAAATTATACATATTACAGGTGAACAAGAAAAACAAGGCACCACAACGACAACAAAAATCTCAATCACAATGTAAATACATATTTAATAAAACATTATATAAACCCATCTGTACAAATATCTATATATATATATATATATCTAAACTGCTTTTGTATTGTAAAAACTATCAAGCTCTCATATAACATAAAACTTTTTAGCTACTTCTCCCTTACTGCAAAAAGAAAAAAATTTCCAATCTCTTTAATCTAACAATCATCTTTAACACTTCATCTTTAACCTTCATCTTTAACCTTCATCATACTCAAAATAAGTTTACATGCTATAAAATTGCTACCCGTTGCAACGCACGGGTATTTCACTAGTTTACTAACTAATTATAACCTTTTGATCAAACCTATTTCTCTCAATCTCCCTTTAAAGTTTCCTTATAAACTCTCAAGCAGGCCTAGCGCGCAAGGCTTAAGGGTTGGGCCGGCCCGACGGCAATACAATAGCGGCCCTGCTGGAAGTCCCTATTTAGGACGTCAAGCTTAGGCGAGAATCCCAAACTTATAGCTCGAAAGTGATTTAACCCTAAGCCCTCTATTTGTTTTAATAAATAAAGTTTAAGCCAAGCTTATTTTTGAATAATAAGAGAGTTTATAGTTGGATATGACAATAAAAAAAAAAAAAATTTGCTGAAAAAAGAAAAAAGAAAAAAGAAGTGAGTTTTATCTAAACATTTTACGCGGCTCTTTGAGAATGTTGCATTACAAGCGTGTGGCTGCCGAGGCTGACCAAATTTACTCCACCGCGTACAGATCCCAATCGGCAAATGTACACGTTAACTTACACAATGATACTTAAAACGACCATCAATGATTGTCCTTTGTTTTCTTCCCTTTGAAATTCTACCAATAATCTTCATCTAAAAGGAAAGGGCAAACAAAACAAGTTGTTTTAGAAAAATCTTTTTACTAATTACAGCCACTTATGCACTCAAAGTCAATTAATTTGACTCTTCTCATTCAAGTGGCGCATTCAAAATTTTGGAGTTTTATTCCGTATACTTCCAATTCCCAATACCTTCAATTATCTTGTACGTACAACGTCCTAGAAAAAAGCCTTTCTAGTTTCTACAAAACAAACCTCTCCTTCTTTGATTATTCCTCTTCTCTATAACTTGAGATCACCCTTTCTTCTAAAGTCCCAGGCACAGAAAATCCTCTCTCTCTCTTCCATGGTGACACCAATGGAGAAACCAGTCTTGAAAGAAGAAAACCACATACATGACTACGAAGATTCCGGTTCCTCAACCGGGTGTGGCTGTTTCTGGTTTTTGGGGTTCAAACGGCCGAGAAACAACGAAAATGGAGGAGATAAACGACAAGTACGCAAGGAAACGACATGGTGGGTGAAGAAGATGAACAAGGTCAAGGAGTTGTCGGAGGTAGTTGCGGGGCCAAAGTGGAAGACCTTCATAAGAAAGGTTGGTGGGTATTGCAAAGGGAAAAAGCAGAAAAACACTCGGTTTCAGTATGATCCTCAGAGTTATGCTCTGAATTTTGATTGTGGTGTTGATGCAGCAGAAGAAGAAGAAGAAGAAGATGGCCCACTTCTTGATATCTCTTCAAGGTTTACGGCTCCTTTGGGCAGTGAAAATAGGTCGTTATAGTCGTTTGTTATTTATGTGAATTTCATTCTTTAAAGAGCTTGGTTGAGGTTTTCATCATTGGTGTATTATACCCGTACTTTTATATTCATTCATTTACGGTCTGGTCTCTTCCCGTGTAACTTCTAAATTTACTTATTATTATTATTGTCTGTCTCTTCAATTTCTATATTGATCAGTTAGTGGTGCTTGGAAGCCCCACAGTAAAGTTTTTATTTTTAGTTTTTCCTTTTTGATGGAAATAAATTTGTATTTTGTATCGTATAAATAACATCTTTCTTTAAATATCAAAAGAAAGGAGCCAAAAAAAAAAAAAACAAAAAAACAAAAGAAGAAAAAGAAAAGAGAGTTTCTAGTCCAAAGCAAACTATGTGCTTTCAGCTCCCGTGAATATTCAAGAATTCTGAAGAACCACTAGAAACATTATTTTTGTTTTATTAAAAACGTTTTTCAACTTTTAGCAACATGATCCGCTCTGAAATTCAATTTATAACCCCCTCTTCAGTTTTTTTTTTTTTTTTTTTTTTTTTTTTTTTTTTTTTTTTTTTCCTTTGTTAAATCGATTTATCAGTTACGACATTCTAATGTTAATTATCCAAAATCTAATTCATTCTGCTTCCATAACTTACAGACTATAGTTCTTTCAAAGAAAAACTTACAAGCTATAACAACCATTCTCGTTCACAAAAAATATAGGAAGACATATAATACACAGAATTCACAGGAACTTAATACACTAAATGCTATCTTGATTGACAACGTAAGAATTATCCCAAACTTTTTCTGTTCCGTTGGTAAGAGATGATAGTGTGTATTAAAGAATGCCTTCTTGCAGATTTGTGCACTGCAACAACCCGCATATAGGCAACAAATAGCAGCATCAAACTCTTCCTCTGGATGAGAGTAATATATTTCTCCAAGACGGTGTTTCTAATCTCCACCTGTCGTCGCCGTTCTGGACCATCAAATATTTTACTCATGCTATAACTTCCTGTAAACTTGGAACTAAGTATCTATAAGGGGTAGAGATCAGAATTCAACCGTTTGTACATCGCCATTTACATGAAATTCTGGTTGCCAGTTTCACCTACATTAGTTCTAAAGTTTACCCAATTAGCAAACATCCCTTTGAGATAAAACAGCAAACACATGTTAATTATAATCCTACCTCTTGCGTTTACTCTTCAAAGAGGGCGACGGTGAAAGGTTATTGTGCCAGTTTCTTTTCCTTTGATTTATAAACCAATTATTAATCTGCTTCAGTTGCAAGCCAGTTTCCTGAACCAGTCTCGCTTTATCTTCCTCCTGTAACGGAATTCACAAGTGAAAATAAGTAAGAGATAACAGAGTAACATTTTGTAAACTTGTTAAACTGATAGCTTAGGATGGTTAAGCTAATCTTACTGTGGGGTATGGCCACTTAGAATGTGATTGCCACCAAGCTTTCAAGAGGGACGTGGTATCACCTGGTAATTTTCCGGCTTTTCTCTTGCGAATAATTTCCTCTCTAATGTCCACAATCTTCTCCTTGTAACCCTGAGAAGCAGGTATCAGCTTCATGTGTCCAGAAATATGACTTTAAAGAGCATCCATTTTTACCTGTTTTAGTTCATGCTTCAGTTCTTCTCTCACACGCTCCATTAAGGACCTCTCAGTTTCAGTAGGGATGAGAGGGCCAAATCCCATACTATCATGCCCATCCAGACTCCCATCATAGAAGTTCATATCACTATCTACCTGATCATCAATGTCATCGGACATTGTTGCGCCTGTGCCTTCACCCGGAGATACACCTATTGATGCATCATCAATTTTCCCAAATTAAAGTAAATAATTAGCTTCTATAGCTTGGCACAGATATAAACAAGAAAACAACATAAGAAGAAGTAGAGGAAAATAACGGAACTCTTAAGAACAGGGATAATACTCAATATTCGGTGGATTACAGGTAGGTTGTAAAGGAGTCAAACAAGTAGATTTAGAAGACCATTCCTACTTTCAAGAAGAAGAAGAAGAAGAAGAAGAGAAACAAAAGCATCCAAATTCATCACAATTCTGCAAATTCAACACAACATAAGGGCAACAAGCTTGCCTTTTACACCTGATTAGGATAGAGAGCAAAGATTTCCCAGCCTGATTATAGTTCACTTGTGAAATTAACTTGGGTTAAACCCTGTGTGCATCTTACGATCTACGAGGATATTCCATATCGAATAGGTTCAAGTTATAACTAGAAATTCCGAACCAGTGCATAAGGACCATGCTTGGATGGCAGAAACCTAATCCTAGTAGAAACTTCAAGTTGCAATAATGCAAACCCGGCAACAGTGATGCTGTTGTTCACTGAATAAGGGGAAATATCCCAAGGCACAGCCAAGGCAGGGGGCATCTTTGGCATTACTGCCATATTTTTATTGCTCTTCCTGCCTCTTTGAATTCCCTCATTGGAAAAGAAATAGAACAGAAACAATAACTTCTGATGGATCTGACGAAGAGGTTTCCTCTCCCTCTTCCTCTACTACAAGGGCATACAATCCCTGAATATTAATAGCAAAATAAGCAGCGAGGATGCAATAACAAAGTTAATATTGATAGAAATGAAAAGGAAATCTAGTAAGTTATGACCCAACAAAATCATTATTATTGGCACTAAATTAAGAATTTTCTTTACCTGTTAAGCTTTGTAGAGCTTGCTCAAGCTCCCAACAAGCCATCACTGCTTCCATGGCATGAACGCGGACATGTTGCTGCAATTGCTGTTTAAGCGAGCAGAGCAATATAACATAATTTGTCTGCCATCCGGAAGGAGAAAAATTAGATCAAATGAAAATCAAGAAACAAACAGTCATAAAGGCATAAACATTATAAACTTTCAAATGAAAATCAAGAAACAAACAGTCATAAAGGCATAAACATTATAAACTTTTAACTTCTAAAGACTGTCACTTTACATACACAGTGTTGGACCCTAATAACCCAGTTTTGGAATGCATAACTTTTGTAGTGGTGATGTTTAAGTTGAAGATGTAATTCAGATTTGAAGAAAGTTCAGAGTTTGAAAACGAGCATTTCAGATCACATAAAGTGAATAAACATGGTCCAATTATTGGTGCTATCTAAATTTTGAGGGAAACATTTATTGCAACAAATATATATATATATGTGTGTGTGTGTGTGTGTGTGTGTATTGAGATCAAAACTTTACAAATAATTGATGTTGGTCTTTGACAGAACAAATTCCACAGCATACCAAGATGAGATCAAGGTATCTATCTATACAAGTGGGAAAAGTATGATAGCATTAACCTAAAAGAAGATTCTCCAAAGCACAATCAAAGTCCAATATGTGTACTTCACAACATGTTTCCTCTTACAGTTCAACAACATGACATTCTGACTGGCATCATAACAAGCAAAAAGCTCAGTATTATTATCCAAAAAAAAAAAAAAAATAGAAATAATAATATTAATACTTCCAGCATTCTTTTTGTCTAATATAGGAATGACAAGAGTGTCCATAGAGTTGGCAGTTCAAGTCCTTTCTTTCTTCCCCATCTAAACCAGTTCAATATTGAACCTTTTTTTTTTTTTTTTCCCTTTTTGGGCCGAAATTTAGTATTGGAACTTGAACCGACAAAAAAAAGGGGTAAAGAAAAAAGAATTTTATTTATTATTATAGTTCAGAATTAAAAAATCTAACGAGAAACAACAATTTAAGCATATGGATGAATCAAAACAATTATCAAATTAACATTCTCATCGAACATAGAACTCTAAAAATCAAGGAAACAAATCCAGTTGGAGAAACCCAGAAAGCATTCTAGTTTTAGCTAAATCATCATCAAGGTACATGCTCATCAATTATATTGTTATAATAATATATATATATATATATATATCACTTTAAAATCAATAAAACTAAATCTAGTTCCAGAACTTTTCAAATTTAAGATCAGCCAAATCATTGATACACTTTTTTTTAGTAGCGTTGATCATATCTAAAACCGTTAACATCCAAAAAGAAACAAAATCTCCACAGAATAAGGAGAAAAAAAAATCAGATATTACCTTCTTCGAAAAAGCAAAAAAATAAAAAAACAAACAAGGAAGAGAAACTTAACACCAGCAACAGAAACTTGAAAACAAAAAGGAAATAGGATCTTGAGAATCAAAAGACAAACCATGAATTGATCAAGCTCTTTCTCATCCACGACTTGTATACCGCCATCGGTGCCGAGCTCCGAGTACTTTCTGACGACACGTTGAGACTGCGAGAGCTGCTCGTCGATCCTCGGCAGCTGGTCCACCGGCGTCGCGATCCGCAAGCACGAGACGTGCGCCGATAGCAACTGTTCGTATAGAGGATGTCGCAGAATATCGGCTTTGTACCTCAAACCCTCGCTCTCTCCATCCTCAACCTCTTCGTCGTCGTCATCCTCCTCGTCGCCAAAACCGTCCTCTCTCCTGCGATCGGACCTCCGATCGCCGCAATCGCCGCCTCTCTTGCCCGCCAGAACGTCGTCGTTTTGGGGCTCGGATTCAGAGAGCAAGTGGAGGAGGTTATGTTGCCTGAACACGGAATTGTTGAGCCACGTCGGAGCTCCGGCTCCGACTCCGGCATCGTCGTTGTCGCTGGCGGAGAGCGACAGTGGCTGCTCTGCGAAATTCGGCTCCTGGAAGACCATCTCGTGAGATATAATGTGGTTATGAAACGCCATTTTTGTCGGCGGTTTCAGTGCATTTGTCGAGTGGAATTACCTATTTGGAGAGCGGTTTTAGAGGAAGGAAGATTGAGCTTTTTTTCTAATGGAGTGGGTGGGCTTTGTGAGTAGGAAGGTGCTCTAGGACAGAGGAGAGAGAGAGGACAGAGGAGAGAGAGGGGACAAGGAGACGACGACTTGAGGCATAAAAATCCTTAAATAATTTTTCATACCTAAAAAAATCCAAACTTTTCTCTAAATCTTATTTTAGTCCAAATCATCTTAAACTTAATTCTCAATATTAGGTGTTAAGAACAGAATAAAATATAAATCATATTCAATTAGTAAAGTGTTAATTATTTTTACGTCAAAATCATAACTAATATTTTTTATCATTTTAAATAGTATTTTTGGTTTTTTTTCTTCTAATAGCCTGTTTAGTTCGTTGATTCGAGTTTTTAATTTGAGTTGATATGTGACTTTATGTGAGAGCTTTTTACTGTAGCAAAAAAGTTAGGGTCTGTTCTTTTGGAGTGTGACTTGAGTGTAGTTCTTGAGTTGAATTTGAGTTATAACTTGAGTTGAAGTTGTAACTTGAGTTTGTGTTTGGTTGTGTACATTTGAGTTATGGTTTGAGATAAGAATCTTTTTGAGTAAGTCAAAACTTGAATTTATATTTAGATAGTATTTTAATAAAAACTCAATGGTGATGGAAAAATTTTAATAGGGTATATGGATAAGATTTTATTCATCTTTTCATTGTCAAAGCATAGAAAAAAATCATCTCAATGAGGATTAAAACGAAAAAGTTATAACATTTTGAAGAATAGAAAACATACTGTTCATTAATTTGAGTTTGAGTTTCTGAACTCGAGTTGAAGGAGAAACTTGAACTCGAGTTTTAGTCTCAAACTCGAGTTCAAACTTAAAAGAACATGAACTTGAATAAAGTTGAAACTCGAGTTGCATTTTTTTGAGTTTTTGAGGCTACCGAACACACACTTAGATGTGACTGTTTCTAAAAGCTTTTTACTGTAGCAAAACTCGAATCGGTGAAATGAACGGGGTTTAAATAATTAAGGGCCCGTTTAGTTTGTCGATTCGAGCTTTTAATTCGAATTGAGATGTGATTTTATGTGAGAACTTTTTACTATAGCAAAAAAGTTAGATATGACTGTTTTTTAAAGCTTTTTATTGTAGTAAAACTCGAATTATAAATTCAAAAGTTAGATGTAAATGTCATCGTGATCTTTTATTTTTTTATTAATTTTATAACGTGCTCTGCAGTATTGTTGTGGTAAAAATACATGCATAGTTTATTGTTTACCGAATTATAAGAAATTCATTTATACAACTATTAAAGGATTTTTGAATTTATTTTTAAAAAATATGTGTAAAGATAACCATCGTCGAAAAAATTAAATTTGGACACATTTGAAGAAAATGAAAAAAAAAAAAAAAAAAAAAAAAACCTAAGTGGAGGGGCTGCTATGTGGCAGCCCCATCATAGCATCCCTATATAAAAGAGTTTTTATTTTTGTATGCATTGTTATATTTGTAAGAAAACACACAAAAAATTAAAATGTAAAAAAAAATTCACAAAATAACAAAAAAGAAAAAAAAAGAGCTAAGTGGAAGAGCTGTCAAAAAAGAACTTTGACTCTTTTATGTATTGTTAGATTTATTAATTGAATCATAAATATTTATTTTTAAATGTAGTGACGTAACTAATATTTTTTATCATCTTGAGTGGTATTTTTAATTTTCTCTTTTAAATATTTAATGGAATCTATGTAAATTAAGGACTAGAATTTAAAACATCTAACATTTAAGGATTGTTTGTGAAAATTAACATTTATTTGCTTTTTGTATTCTTTTTTATCCTAAATTTTATATGATTTCAATTTTAATCGTTAATTTTCACAGATTCCATTAAATATTTAAAACTTAGCTAACGGAAATACTAAAATTAAAAAATAATAATAGATTAGGGACCAACTGCAGGTTAATTCGAGAGCCAAAGGTAAAAGTGAAAGTGAGAATAAATCACAAGGAGCCTTAGTGGGACCCTATTATGTATTCTATTAGTTAGTTAAGAGTTATTTTAATTTTAAACTTTCTTTCAATTTGTTTACACCTAACTCATCATGATTTGTGTCAACCCGTAAAGTGATCGTGTCGCGTTTGTGTTACGGTTTTTAAAAAACATCGTGTTACGAGTCGTGTTCGGGTTGACTGTAAATTTATAAAAAAAAATTGTCAAAATACCACACGTGACACTAATTATCACCCATAATTGTTTGAAAAATTCAAACGCTTAGCCTTCCCCTCTAAACTTGCTAAAGATTAAAAAAAAAAAAAATACCACAAATAAACCTTTTTTTTTTTTTTAGAAAGCTGCAATGACAATCACATGAGAAAGATTAAAATCGCATGACTTGCTACCTGTTAAGATATAATTAGTTCTCTAATTCAATTTTAGCATTAGCTATTTTACTTTCTAATTGTTGTTTACTTGTGTCCTCTAGTAGCCACACACGTGTTCAATAACTTTGTCATACCCTATTTTGGGTATTAGTATTGTAACGAGTTCTGCACGTATTGTCGTGTTTAAAAGACTTAAAGAGTTTATTATTTATAGAAATTCATTTATATAAATATTTAAGGATTTTTGAATTTATTTTTAAAATAAATGTGTAAAGATATCAATTGATAAACAAATTGAAGTATGGACACATTTGAACAAAATTATTTTAACCAATCAAAAGTAAAATAAGAACATGTGAGAAAAAAATTACTCTCATAAAAGTAAAGTGAAGAACAACATATTTTGAAAAAAATGCACAAAAAAATTAAAATGTAAAAAAAAGCTAAAAGAATAAAGATAGAAAAAGAAAAAAAAAAGGAAAAAAAGATCTAAGTGCCATGGTAGCCCTACAGAAAATAATTTTGATTCTTTTACGTACTGTTAGATTCCTTTGTATTGTTGCTTTATGAACTGTGTAAGAACAATTTTCCAGAATACACATCAATATTATCTCTGAACCTTCTTCTTTCAAATCTCTTCTCTACTAGTTTTTCTAATTCGTGATTTTAAGTTTTAAGGGAAAAAAAAAGTGAGGTGTAGTGAAGCAGTTTTTTTTTTTAATTGATGTGATACACTTATCTTCGGGTAATGCATTAAGACGCCACAATACATACACAAACAGTTTTTTATTTTATTTTATTTTTTTTCTGAATCTTTTATATGGAATGTAGCAGTTTTTTCTCTGAAGTCAAGAAGAAATAAACGGAGAACAGAATTTTCTGTTGAAAGAAAAAGCAATCCGAAGTTTACAGATAAAAAGGTCTCTCAACTGAAAGAAATTCCTCAAGACAATACAATAACTTTTTAAGGAAAAATTCACTGACGAATCGGAACCCTTTTTCCCGAAAAACCAACTAATTAAAGATTTACGAGAAAATCGAAAAGACTTCAATATCTGATATGCAATTATGGTTTACATTCTATAACATATCAAGTTTTTATTAATTTATATTTTTTTGAGTACGATATAAATTAAGAAAGATTCTTGATTTATGAAAAAATAAAAAATAAAGATACTTCTAAGATATATATGCATGTGCTCATGAAAAAAAAAAACAAAAACAAAAAAACTTGACGATTACTTCCTTCCTCGCTTAGTTTGTTTTGTTTCTTTCATTCGATTGTCATTACATCCAAAGTCCAAACGATAAGAATATGCGCCTTCGTTGGGATGTAATGACGAACGAATGAAAGAAAACAGAACAAGAAAAACAGACTTTCGTAATCCTCAAATCCAAAGCTTTAAGATATTGGATCTGTGAATTTAAGCAAATTTTAACGTATATATAGACGATTTATAAAGTGGGTTTTAATTTTTCTATTCGAACTAGGATTCTTGATATTATTAGGATTTCTAATCTTCAAGGGATTTGCCCAAATCTAAACCCAATGGAAAAGAACTGTTGTTGAACGATGTTCTTATTATTATTTTTTTTTTAAGAAATGGATTTGTATATATAATTCTCTTATCTTCCTCTTTATTTAAATAACGTTAAATCATGATTCGAATTTGTTTGGTATGGAAATTAAAATTCTAGGATAACATTGAGATGAGATAATTGGGATGTTGGTGGCGAGATAAGCCCTTAATTTAAATCATTCGAGTTAGATTAAGATTTGCTTTATTTTTGTATATATATTTAGTTTTAATTAATGAGAAAGGCCGTGCTATAATTTTTTCCGTTCTTCTAAATTCTTTAAAAAGAACATGTTTGTTTGTTTGTGTATTGAATTTAAGTACTAGATTTCACAAACTTCTTCTGTAAAATTCAAGTTAAATGTTTTCATGAAATAATCATATTTTCCTTAGCCGAATATAACAAAGAAAATGCCAACTTAATAAATAATTAATGGGTTGATTGTTAAATAATTAATGGGTTGCTTATCTTCCTCTTTATTATGCAATTATGGTTTACATTCTATAACATATCTTGATTTCTTTTGCAATTATCTCTAATTTTAAATATTAAAATTAAAGACAAAATTAGATATTAATAGTATATATCGGAGTATAAAATGGAATAATATTCTTTTCACTGTAGTTTTTTTCCATGAACCGATAACATTTCTTTTTGGATATAGTTTTGACTTGGCTTATTCTTTTTTTTTTTTTTTCCCCTATCCCCAAAAGAACACATTGTTTACCTTTATCAGGGTAAACATTTAATTTGATTATGTTTTCTCATTGATATTTGCTTTTTGTAGTCTAATGTCCAATAATTTAATGAGCTCTTCTTATCCCGTGGAGCTTAGGCTTCTTAGGCAAAGCCCTTGAATTAGATTAGGAATCACAACAATATTACGAATCCAAGTTCGAATCGATAACTAAAATAAAATACACCCATGTCATAAATCATCTATATAAACTTAGAACTCCCTTAAACTCCAGAGCCATCTCTTGCCTTTGATTTGAGGATTAAAGAATTAAGTTTGTTTTTCTTGCTCTGTTTTCTCCCCTTCAAGCTCGCCCCTTCCTAACGAAGGCCCGTCTAATCGTTCGGAAGTTGTGAGCATGAATGAAAGAAACAGAGCAAACTGAGCTAGGAGGAACAAGTAATTGTTAAGCTTGTATTTTTTAAACATGCAAATA